TTTACAAAATAAAATTTTTTGGGAATGGGGGGGGGGGGGGATTAGCCTGTTTGAAGATGGGGAAAGGGTGCTGGCTTAATAAGAATTACAACTGTGGCACCTGAACAATGACTTTGAATGTGGTGATGCATGTAAACAATAATATACAATGAATATTTATTGAAACAAAGATAAAGTATATATTGTACTGTATGTTTATGGGAAGTATAAAAATACTTCAGCATCACCATTCACAGTGAATATTCAGTGTTACTGAACCCTCTATACAAATTTTAGAATTGTTGTATATATATATATATATATATATATATATATATATATATATATATATATATATATATATATATATATATATATAATGTATGTATGTATGTATGTTTATATATATATAAATAAAAATGGAAATGTTCGTTTGTTCAAAGTCGCTAATCTCCGAAAGTTCCTCACCGATTGCTTTGAAATTTTCACACAACGTTCCATTCGCATCCAGCCAGGTTTATATATACATACTATATAGATGTCATGCCTGTGACGGTAAAAAACATGCTTTTTCTGAAAAACTGTGTTTTTCACGTGAGGAAAATCTTCGAAACCTCTTTACCGATTGCTTTGAAATTTTGACAGAACGTTGCATTCAAATACACGATTTTTTATATATCTACTATATACATGCCTCACCTGTGACAGGAAAAAACATGCTTTTTTGAAAAACAGCGCCATCTGTTGGACGTAAGAGCAACACACGTTGTAATCTCCAAAAGTTCTTCACACATTGTTTTGAAATTTTGACAAAATGGTGCATTCGCATAGGCGCATGGTTTTATAGTCCTACTATATAGATGCCACCCCTGTGACAGGTAAAAACATGTGTTTTTGAAAAACAGTGCCATCTGTTGCACATAATATCAACATGCACGCTATACTAAATATGTCACAAATTCCATTTCAGTGTTTCCGATTGCACTGAATTTTTTTCATAGATTCCGATTTTATACATTGTTTATCGAATTATTTTGTGACATTGTTGTGTTGGAATTGAGCTGTGTTGTTTACCATACTGTTCATTTCGTAAGTATAAGTATAGATGCCACACCTGTGACAGGTAAAACTATGCTTTTCTTGAAAAACAGCGCCATCTGTTGCATGTGAGAGCAACACACATACTATGCTAAATATGTTACAATTCCATTTCAATGTTTCTGATTGCATTGATAAATTGAATTTTCATAGATTCCGATTGATTTTCATTTCGATTTATTTATTTTGTGTGAATTGCATTGGATTTGAGCTGTGTTGTTTACCTTACCGTTCATTTCACGAGTATAATTTATTTATTTTTTTTCATATTTTCATTTCAATTTTTAACTTTTTTTCAGTGATGGGAACATCAGATCACTTGATGTTCCCAATTTTCTGATGGGAACATCAGACCATTTGGGAATGCATCGGACGAGGGAGTGGGGAATGGTGGGTATGATGAGGGGACGGAAGTGAGAGATGTGGTGAGGACTAGGGGACAAGGGAAGGGGTAATGATGGGGAAAGACTAGGGGAGGGGGGAGTTTGGGATGGTGAGGACGAGATGATGGGGGAAAGGAGAATTGTGGGGAGGACAAATGGATAGGGGAGTGGGACATGGTGGGAAGGAAGAGGGGATGGAAGAGTGGGAAATGGTGGGGAGGCCACGGGGACGGTGGAGTGGGGAATGATTGGGAGGCCGAGGAGACGGGTGAGGGGTGAATGGTGGGGAGGACTAGGGGACAGGAAAGGTTACTGTGGTTCAGCAACACACATGCATTGCTGAGCCACAGCAACGCGTGGCCGAGTACTGCTAGTATGTATGTATGTATGTACTCACCTAGTTGTGTTGGCTGGGGTTGAGCTCTGGCTCTTTGGACCCACCTCTCAACCGTCAATCAACAGGTGTACAGATTCCTGAGCCTATTCGACTCTATCATATCTACACTTGAAACTGTGTATGGAGTCAGCCTCCACCACATCACTTCCTAATGCATTCCATTTGTCAACCACTCTGACACTAAATTATACAAAGTATATTTTATATCTATATACATAGTATGTAAAATATACATATGTATGTACATATATATATATATTATATATATATATATAAACACAACAGGCACCAACGCCTGCAAGAGACTCGAACCCAGAAAGCATATATGCACACACACACACACACATATATATGAACATAACGTATCGGTTATGTACAGGTCCGCGAACACCTGTGCTCTCTGGGTTCAAGTCTCCTGCAGGCGTTGGTGCCCGTTGTGTTTATATGTACTGTATATACATGTTGTACCTAGCAGCCAGAAGGCAGTACTTTGCCTACTATGCAAGGCCCAATTTGCCTAATAAGCCAAGTTTTCCTGAATTTATATATCACCAACATGTGTGTGTGTGTGTGTCTCACACCACGCCACTAATGTAAATTTCTATGGTAAAAACCACCTAATCTAAACTTTTCAGTAGTTTGTGAATGAGTTTTGCTAGGTTAGATAAGGATAGGTTAGGCTATTAGGGTTATATTTTGCTATAACATGTAAACAATCATCTGATATACTGGTATGGTTTTGATGATTAACATTTATTTGTTAATTTAACAGAGGCAATTTTATTGTTATTCACACGCAGACTACTGGTGTAACCAATATTTATTTAATTGTCTTTTTACATGTGTTTACAGGTGTTTGGGCATTTGGAATAATATTTAACTAAGTACAGACAGAAATCACAATAGCATGATGCATCAAATTAACAATTTGATGCATTTGTGGATTTGTTCACTTAATTAAATAATTATACAGTACAGAAACAATTTGTGGATTTGTACATTTAACTAAATAATTACACAGTACTGTACAGAAAAAATGAATTTAGATGTAATTTAATTTAAAAATTCATTATACAACAATGAAAGAAACATTAACTAATGTCTCATTTAGATGTGTAGTAGAAACCCAAGTAAACATAACAACTGCACCCAGAGAACATTTAATACCAGAAGCATCCAAAACTTGGTACGTATTAAAAACTATGATAGTGTGAAATTCAACACTATCGGTATATAAACAAAATATACTGTTATTAGGTTGGGTTAGGATTGATTAGATTAGGTTAAGTTTGTTTAAAGGAGTAACGATGATATAGCATGTTCAACCTTTTTTAAGGTCTTATTCTCAAATCCTCAATATTGATGGTAATCTATATTCTGAACTTTTTCACAATTGGAAGCATTCTCTTACTTATTTAATATTTTCAATTAATTTTTTCTTACTATTGCTTACATAAAGAATGTTTAAACAGACAATAGAGTACTGTATGTTTATTGTGAATATTACTGCCTCACTGATCTGATACCTGCTTGATGGGGTTCTGGGAGTTCTTCTCCTCCCCATGCTCGGCCCGAGACTAGGCTTGACTTGTGAGAGTTTGGTCCACCAGGCTGTTGCTTGGAGCGGCCGGCTTTAGCCAACTATTTTCTTTCCAGGGATATTCTTGCATGGGCCCTAAGCCTCTCGCTGACCCACTAAATGTTACTTGTTTCTTGTTTCTGTTTTACTTAGGAGTTTTGACTCTTATGTTCGCTTCAGTAAGATTATGCCCAATGTGTTTAATAACTACTACTGCTCTGTTGAATCTTAGTTGAAATCTAATTGGGTTTGTAACTCTGCACTGTGTTAGATAATGTTCCAGGAGTCTGTCAGGCATTTCTCCACAATGAGGAGCCAACTGATTGCTCATACCTGGAGAGGGTTCTGGGAGTTATTCTACTCCCCGAGCCCGGCCTGAGGCCAGGCTTGACTTGTGATAACTTGATCCAACAGGCTGTTTCTTGGAGCAGCCCGTAGACCCAGATATCCACCACAGTCTGCTTGGTCTGGCACATAATGCCAATACATTTTTTAATATAGCATTCATTATCATCCACTTCACATTTGGCTACTTGGCACAGCCCAAAGTAATTTTGTACAACTATCATGCCAACTTTTACATTGTGAATTGAACTGGCTTTGACCCCCCCACCTTTCAATTTATTCAAATGTTCCCAACTCATACACTAAAGCTACTACATTTGTCCCAGTATCTTGTATGTCATAGCCATATCTCATTCGTTCATTCTTCCTGGCACCATTTGTATTTATAATTCTTTTAATTAAGCTTAGTAAGTAGCTGAAATTAATGCTAATGTACACTTCTGACAATGCTTGGTAAGATGTCCTCTCCCAGGTCTCTCCTCCTTGCTGAGGCATCTCAGTCTGGGAGCGAATGAATTAATGAATGGAGTGAACAAAAGAGTAAAGTGAACTACGTGGAGTGAGACGAGTGATAGGATTACAGACACGAGTTAACTGAGCGAGTTTGTAAGGTGTAAATACTGTAACTAACTGTAAGAGAAGCGAGTATAATGAATATGGGTTGAACAAGTGAATGAGTCATGTGAGTGATGTGGATGAATAGTGAATGAAGATAATATGAGTGAAGTGAATGTCTGAGTGGAGTAACAAAACTAATAAGTATGGGGGAGTAAATGATACGAATGGGTATGGAGTGAGTGAAATCAATGTCAGTCGAGTGAGTGAAGTTAATGTTAGTAGAGATAGTGACTGGAGTTGAGTGAATGTGCAAGTGGAATGAATAAAGTTAATTTTCGCGTAGATTAAAAAAAAAAAAAAGAGATGTTTGTGTGTCGGGGTAAATGCAAGTAGAATAGGTGATAGTATATTAGGAGTGAGCGAGAGTGAGAGCGAGTACGAGTGAGCAAGCCTCTCTCTCTCTCTCCTCTCATCTCGGGTGTAAACATCACCGCCCACTTACCACTAACGTCGCCCCTCCCTCCATAAAACTACACCCCCTGGCGTGTGGCGAAGCCCGAGGGGCCTGACGGGGCGACGCCGACGGAGGAGACAGGAGACAGTGCCCCTCCTACCCCGAGAGAACATTTTTACGGGATACACCTGTCGCTGGGTCCCTTACCTCTGTCCGGCGGCGGGAAGGAGTTCAGCTGTTCCTCATCGCGAGACACTTGCGTAATAATCGATGAGGCATCCATTGAATCATTTGCTTAAGATTAACGGGATGAGTAGAGTTCCGAGTTCATCGAAAATATTTAAATTTGTGTAGAACTGAGTACCACCCCACCAAAACCAAAATGGCAGCTCAACTTGTGAGTCGCACGTTCCAGCAATACGCTCCGCCGACGATATTGTAAACAAAACGCATAATTTAATTCCAGGGCATCCATATACTCTGGATTCATAATGATACCAAACAAATATTTTTCCTATGAAATATAAAATCACTAGCGCTAGTGAAACAACCCATTTAGAAGAGAAACAAAATTTGTTGCCATAATTTTAAGAGACTGTTGGCATTCGCGAAGAGACTTCCAACATTCCCGTTTTCTATGATTTCAAGGACAAGATTGTGTTACCAGGAAGGACTACCAACCTTCGTAACCAGACACCACTTATACTCCCGCCTCCGCCCAAATAACCACTCAAAAATCATTCATCATTAATGTATTCAACATAATTAAATAGTATTTAAACAATTTTGTACTCTAATCATATTCACATGTGGAGAAAAAACCGGGGATTTTTAAGCTATGATGATGGCTGTTATGGTAACTCTACCGGCTATATATTGCGAGAAATCGTATTATCAGAGTAAATAAGATTAGTTTAAAACTAAACCAGAGGTGATAATTTGATACACCATATGACTAGAATTGGCTACAACATAGGCGAGTAGCACACTGATAGTTCATATTAGGTTATATTTCAGTTACATTATATCAAATATTTACTACATAAAATATATGATTTCACTGTAATTATAATCTTTAAAAACACTCAATTAACCTCATTCAATAACGACACGAAACGAAAGTTTAATTTTATGAAGAGGATTGTAGGCGGGTAAGCAGCCTAGCCGTAAGTTTATATCTCCTCCCACTGTAACGGAACTTCTCAACATGCCCTGAATTACCCGACTTTACCTGAAAGCTACTATCGCTCTAGTGGCCTCGATGAGGACAGGAAGCCGGCGGCTTGTGGAAGCTCCCCCACTCTTCCTGGTGATATTGTCGAACTGGATTTTTAAATTCAGCAGCGTTTTGGGAAGGTACGGCTTCGGCGGGTAGGCTGTTCCATTGGTTTATAACTGGGTGAAAAAGCATCTGTTTTCAGTCCTACATTGTGGCTTGTTGAGCTTGAATCCGATACTCCTTGTTTGTGTTACATCTGAACTTTTGAAGAGGTAATCTGGATCAATAGTCGTCAAGTTGTTAAATATTTTAACGCTTAATGAGATCAGCGCTGCCAGACCTAACAGCACGTCGCATTCTGACGTTTACTCTAACTTTAGCCAAAAACTGGCGCACTAAATGATGGTAACGGCTCGCGAAATTTACATACTGTACCGTTTTCTGTTCGTTGGTCCTCTGGCAGGTTAGGGTAAGGTAATCTAGAACGACAGTTTCTTGACGTTGGTGACGCCCGCAAGAACAGGCTGGGCCCTCAACCATTCCTGGTATGAGAGTCATCTTAGTTCTAGAATGATTTTTGTTGCCCGGTGTGGAATTACAAGAATTTATATGTTCTTCCTTTGTATTGAATTTTGTAACTAGCTCATCGAGATTGTAACTTGCTTAGCTAAATGAATTGTGGGGTTCAGTCCCTGAGCCCATTATGTGCCTCTGTAACCCTTTCCACTACCGCCCACAAGATGGGTATGGGGTGCATAATAAATGAACTAAACTAAACTAAAACTTCCTTTGTTGGGAAACCGTTATACTGTAGCTAGCATTTCCTCTTTGGTTCAGCAGATAAATAACTAACTAAAGCAGCGCGCTGAATGGTTCTGTACAGCGGGACTGTCCTCTCAATGTTTCACGGGGCGTATAGAGGGCTGGCTCTATATGCCCAGTCTACCAGCTCTGTTGCCTTATAATTTAACTATTCGGATGTGCAAATTTGTTATCGAATCTGGCTTTAAAGTTGTGGATGGAGGCGGCTTCCACCGCTTCCTTCAGTGCACTCGGGTTGTTGACCACCCGTACAGGCCACAAGTATTTCTTTACATTTCTTCCACTCATTTGCGTTTTCAGTTTCTACTTATTTTCTCTCATCCTCCTTTCTCTCACTTTAAAGAATAAATTAAAATTCCTTAAGGATTCCTTAAATTCGTTAAACTTACACCTTAATTCCCTTAAGTATCTTGTATGTTGCAAACATGTCCGTTCTGTATCTTCTCCACTCCAGAGTTGTAAGGTCCAGTTCCCTTAAATTATCTCTACAGCTTAGCCCTCTTAGCTCCGGCACTAATCTTGTCGCAAGCTTATGTAGAATTTAAATTTTGATTTTATGCTTCACAAGGTCTGGATTCCGGGCCGGTGCTGCATATTCTGATATTTATCTAACAAAGGTTGTGTAGGTTGCCTTGAAAGAAACCTGGATTTGGTTTCTAAACGATGTTCTAATGTTTACCAGCGTCCCATATGCTGCAGGGACAGGATAACAGCAGTTATCCTGTTTATGTGTGCCTCTGGAGATAGTGTTGTGATTATATCTACTCCCATATGTTATTATCACTCCATCCTCATCATCTTACACTTGTTGGGATTGAATTCTAAAAACCATTTACTTGCCCACTCCTGAAGTTTGTCAAGTTCATCTTGTGACCTTTCGCACTCTTCAGGGTTTACATTCCTCTTTTGTACAGTCTGCAAAAATTGTAATATAAACTCCCTTGATTAGTTCAGTCACATAATTTAGGAACAGTAGGGGTCCCAGGACCGACCCTTGGGGAACCCTACTTGTTACCGTCCTCCAACTAGAAGTCTCATCTCTGACAATAACTCTGTTCTCTGTACTTCAGGTAGTCCCTTTCCCGGTTCAGTATCTTCCCAGTAATCTCTGTTTGCTTCTCCCTCTCGTACACCAGCCTTTCATGAAGGCTGGTGTATCAAATGTTTGTTGACAGTCTAGGAAAATAGAGTTTACCAAGCTTTCTTTTTCCTGTCTTATTTTAATAACCCTGTCATAGAGCTTTATCAAGTTTGTCAGACACGACTTTTCGCTTCTAAAGCCATGCTGCCTATTTGTTATAAAGTCTTGTTGGGATCGAACTGTTGACAACCCAACACATTTAATTCAGGTTTATTCTGAATGTTTATCCTAATGCTTCGTTGTACTACAACGGGGTACATGAATCTGAACAGGTGTCAGCCTCAGCCGGACCTGTTGTCAGGTGCGACACCCTTTGTGCTGAGGTCTGACAAAGGACAAGAAAATAAGATGGTATAAAACTTCATCATGGATATATTGTGATATATCTCTATAATCACCTTATATACAATATTTTACATGTATATATATATATATATATATATATATATATATATATATATATATATATATATATATATATATATATATATATATATATGTGTGTGTGTGCATTGTACACAAGTACAGTTAATATATATATATAGAGAGAATGATACTACGACCATGCTACGGTCGTCTCTGGTCCGATTGATCTTCCCACTTATAAATCATCTACTTTCCTGCAATTTGTACCGCTATCAGGAAAATCAGCGCGTTACCTCCACGCCGACCTCTAAATCTCAAAGCTGTTATCTTCCATAACTTTCAAGAACGTCGACCATGCCTCGAGGTCCTCTTCCTTCGTGAGGGTGGAGCACACTAACAGTTGGGTCCGTTGGTCACACATCCAAACGCGACGACAGCCTGTTGACTCAATGGAGGGGAGTAGATGTCTGTCTCTCCACATGCTCCGGCCAGCACACGTTACCTCGCCCGGTGGTTCTGATTGGCTAACAGAAATTCCCGCCACCGGACGAGCCATACCGTGCTGACCGTTAACGACCTCCATGGTTGTTAACCTCGTTCTTCCTGTAATAATGAACGTATGACTTAAATAATCGTGCCTTTATGCGATGAAATAACACGGTACGATATATCGTAACACTCGCCTCCACAGTGACTACTGTATCATCCAGTGTTGCCTCTGGACGCTCTCAGCTCTGGTCTCCCCGTTGGTTGTTTTCTCAAGACTTCCTGAAATATTTGGTTGACCTCTTCACACATCTCCTTGTTGTTTTCCGTGAGAATTCCACCTTGTCCCTGCAGCCTGATCACACGGGCTCCTATGGCTGTTTTCCTTTGTTATATGACTAGAGAGCAGCTTTGGGTGGCCCTCAGCTGTCTCAGCAATGGCGTTGTCAAACTGCCGTTCAGCTTCCCAACTGACTCTAGCGTATTAGTTTGTAGCGCTCTTTAGTCCCACTCTATTGTCCTCCGTTCCTAGTTCTCCATACTTTTTCCGTTTTCTGGTTTGCATTTTCTTTTGCCTCCTGTTCTCTGTGCTTCCCTGCACTGAATATTAAATCAGGGCGGTTTATTAAGCTTTCCTCATGCACCTCCCGCTTGAGTAGGACGAACAGCTCCATTGCATCTGGACAGTTCTGAGAGCAATTCTAACATCTCATATGTGGGTTTCCCTTCCACTGTTCTCTCCCATTGGACTTTCCTCGTATAGTCTAATAAACTTTATTATGTTTTCGAGAATATGTGTTGTAACTATGTGGACCCTCGGACATATATTGACAATTATATAATATAGTTACCGCACTTTGTTTAATCTGGAAAAACTACTAAAAACCAAACCTAAATATTCTTAGGCCTAGTACAACATATATGTACTATATTCGGCCTTAGTGTGTATTAGGCCTAAGATGGTTAGGTTGGGGTTTATTAGCAACATAAATACAAAACCTTTTCATGTTTGTCCAACTTCAATAGTACCAAATTCAATAAAGTAGCCGTCACAACTGCAAGAAAAATGACAGGTTGGATAACAAGAACTTTTCACACTAGAGATGCTATACCGATGATGATACTTTTCAAAACGCTTGTGCTCTCTAGAGTGGAGTACTGCTGCACAATGACAGCCCCTTTCAAAGCTGGAGAAATTGCTGACCTGGAGAGCGTGCAGAGATCCTTTACAGCTAGAATTCACTCAGTAAAACACCTAAACTATTGGGACCGACTAAAGAGCTTAAATCTGTATTCTCTTGAGCGCAGGCGGGAGAGATACATAATAATTTACACGTGGAAAATATTAGAGGGGCTGGTCCCAAACCTGCACACAG